CACACCTTTAAGAAATCATAACAAAATTAACTTTAATTTCACCAATTTTGACCCTAAAATCTTATTTTAGCTTTTTTTTTATTCTTTATTTGCCGCCGCTGACCGATGGTCAATGCATGTCTCCGGCGGTGATAACTCTTTTCTTTTTTGGAAAGACAAATTTCCAGCCGCTGACCGCCGGTCAATACTGCGGTAAACACAATAATATTATTGTACTATTAAATATTACAGTCAATTACAATACTATTTTTTTTAGGATGTGTTGACCGGTTAATATAATAATATTAATGTGTTACACAACTATATTATTTTGCAACACAATAATATTGTTGTTCATATTATTGTATGTCACAATAATATTTATTATTATTGATATTATACTGTTAGATAATAGTATTGCTGTGTTAGACGACAATATAGTAGGTAGTACCTGTCAAACGCAGTCATGTTATTGTTTGTTGTACTAGACAAAAGTGCTTTGGTAAAAAAAATGAAAAATAAAATCAACGCCAGAGACCGGCTTTGACCGCCGGTCAATAACGGCAGAAAACAAAAGTCAACGCCGGAGATTAGCTATAAACGGTGGAGTACAGGACAACATCCTTCATTTTTTTAGAGATACATACGAAAATTATCAAAATAATTATATGTTTCAGATTTTAATTGAAATGGATTATATCTTAATCGAATCATTTTATAATCTAATAACAAATAAGAAAGACAAAGATATGATACATAAGAGTATAGACAAAAAATGTATGTTCAATTGTTTTGTGGGCTATTTGCTAAACACACTCAAGTCTAATTTGCATTCATATTAGGTGTAAATTTCACTTTCCCCTCAAGTACTTTGGCTCGATATCATTTTACTATCTTCTATTTTCAATAGTGGCATCGATTTGCTCTCTGTTCTTGAAAAATTGTCTCAATGTGGCTCTCGCCATTAGTTTTCAGACATTTGACCGTAACACCGTTTGATGTAAGTCTGAAAATTACAAAAACGCAACCCCTCCCAGTTTAAATAATTATTAAAAAAAATTATGGCTACCGTCGTGGAATATGCTTTCTGGTTGTTTTGAATTTTTTTTTATTAGTTTTTGTTTTTTTATTCTTTTTTTCTAATAATTATTTAAACAGGGAGGGGTCGCGTTTTTGTAATTTTAGAGTTTAGACAGAACGGTGTTAAAGCCAAACGTCTGACAACTAACAACAAGGGCCACATTGACACATTTTCAAGTGCATGGGGGGCAAATTGATGTAATTGAAAGTAGAAGGGGATAAGGTAGAACTGAGCTAAAGTACAAGGAAGCAAAGTGGAATTTAACCTTCTTATTATGATACTCATATTTTATCCATTTTGCTAAAAGTCGGAAAACTTGAACAACTTCGGCTAGAAATGTACCTTCTTTCCCTCCACTCTACCCCCGCCCACCGCCTAATAAATGCAACCATTAAGCATTTTCTTAAAGAGAATTTTGGCCCTCTAAAAATTGTTTAAGGATGCTCATAAGACCTTTGTGATTGAAAATATATTTATGTTAAGAGTAACCTACAATAAACTCTCGAGATAATGTCAATTTACGAAAAAAATCCTCTCAAATTTCCATAATTACGAGAACCCTCCTAAAGTTTATTGTCGTCTTTCAAGGAATTTTTTTATACTATGGAATATTCTTGAAAAAGTACCAATTTTACCCTCTAGGGTAGTTGTGATAATAATATTTCATGAGAAGGGTAATTGTAAAAAGAATTGGAATAAAATATGACCAGTCGTACCCCTCGTTGTGTATGGGGTTTTATTGTAATGTTTATCATTTTTGTTTTAGGAGTAATGTTTGTCATTTAAAATTGTGTTAATACTTAATTATGATCCACCACATCTACTTACATTATTTGGTCTATTGAATTATTTAATGGAATGAAACCTTAAGATACTTTAAGTAATTATGGATACCTAATTGGTGCTTTGGCAATTAGATCATACTTCAGGAGGAGTTGTGTAATTTACAACTTTTTTTTAAAGTTTTTATGTAACTTAATTGAGGGTATTATAGACATTTCATACTTTTCTTTTAAAAGATCAGGGCAACCGAATCAAAGGGCTTTGAGTGTCTGGTAATTAAGAATACGTGAGCGGCTTTTTGATTTTGTCTACCCATCTATTCCGAATTGTTTTATCTTCTAGTATGTTAAAGTTTTTGGAGCAAATTGCATATAATAATCTCAAGGAGGAGGACTTTCAAAGAGAACGACTTAAATACATATATGTTCACACCAAAAACAGTTTCAAATAAAATTCATCCTTGTGCCTTTTTCTAAAGGGTCTATTTGATATACACCCCTAGAATGAAAAATATATAGGGATAGGTCCACCCCAAAAATTCTTCCTTTGAGATACCCCTGAAGAGGTAAAAGTACTATTATGCCCTTAAGTGCAATTTTCATCCAACTGCATTCGGTATTTTCGCCCCAACATGCATTCAGCATAATGCCCAACTACATTAAGCATTTTGGCCTGCATTTATCATTTTTATAGATTTTTTAATAAAAAAATATAAATATTTATTTTATTATTTTTTTATATATACCCTATTTTTTTAGTTTATTTTTAATTTTTTTAATTTAAAAAAAAATTTAATTTTTTTTATTTTTATTTTTTAATTATTTAATTGCTTTTTAATTGCTTTTTAATTGCTTTTTAATTTATTTTTTTATCTTTTAATTTTTTATTTGTTTTGATAAATTTACTGTACTGAAATTGACTACACATGACTATAGTATACTACACATAACTATAGTATACCACAGTTATATGTAATCATGTATTGTCTTTTTACCCCAAATTTAATCTACACCAACAACAATGTTCACAATTTTAATCTTGATATTATAAATCAAATAACCCCAAAAAAATTGAAAAAACACAATCACATGCATATAATCTTCAAAACATGAACACGCATTACTATACATTAAAAAACACATAACATACATATAGCTATATGTTACTACACATGACTATAGTTATATACAATTATTTATAGTTATATAAGTGACATAAGTCTGGAGTACTGTAGTATGAATGCAACTTCACGTACAACTTCTCTGCGTCTTATTCTTTGCATCTCATAATGTTATATAGAGCAAAACCCGTGACAAAAAAAATACAAGTTAAAGAAAACGAAGAATAAAATGAAACAAGCGAATTACATTACATGAAAAAATACAAAAAACAATAAACAATGAAAGACATTTTTTGATAAATTTACTTTGGTGAACTATAGTCACAAGTAGTTATGTGCATTATTGTTACTGCATATGACTAGATATGACTATATGTAGTCAACTATAGTCATATGTAGTTATGTTCATTCTTGTTACTACATATAATTATATATAACTACATGTATACGATCACATGTGACTATATATGTATATGAATAAAATTCATCTACACCATTAAAAAAAGTTCACAGCAGTTTAAGATAATGAATTATGCAATCTCTGGCAGATGTTGCTGCAACATTCATTATACTTTATTAAAAAAAAAATCAAACATACTTATTGGGCTTTGTGCAGTTTCCAATATACCACCTTGGTACTAATACAACCCATAGAAACTTGGTGAATTAAATCACGTAATGAACAAAACCTCCCTACAGTAGCATTACGCTGTGACGATTAATAAACATTTTGCCAGCTACTATGAAGTCATGTCATAACATAGAAGACAATATTCAGATCCCAAATCCGCAGGGGAAATATAAAACGAATCTAAAATGAAGACGGGAAAAACAAAGCACGGGAAATATATAACGAATCTGAAACGAAGACGGGAAAACGGAGCAGGGGAAATATATAAAAATATTACACTATTTCTCTTCTAAATCAATCACTTGGAAATATATTACACTATTTCTATAAAAATATTATAATAAATACGCATTTCCTGTTTTTTTTTTAAACAAATACGTATTTCCTTGATGACATAGTATTCAGTGAAGGTTGTCAGGACCGAACCGGTCCGACCGTGACCCGTGAAGAAAACGGTCCGATCCGACTCCTAAAACCGAAAAAACTAAAAACCCGGTCCAAATGTCTAGACCCCGGTTCGACCGGACAAAACCGGTGAACCCGGAAACCGGCTATCGACTCCGGTTTTTGTCTAAAACACTGCGTTGGAGGTGGCTGTTGGTGGTGGGATTTGGGCGGAATTCGATGGGGTGGCTGGATCTAGGTGGTGTAGGCCGTGGGGGACCAAAATTCGATGGATCTGGCTGTGGGTTGCCGGAATTTGATGAATTTTGTTGTAGATGACGGGAATAAGTTGTGTGTGATTGAATATGGAGGGAGAAAAAAAATAGACGAAGAAGATGAAAAAGAAGAAAAAGAGATAAATAGAAAAGGGAGAGAGATGGTGGGGGGAGATATGCTGTGGTGTAGCGGAAAAACTTAATTGTTGGTAAGAGAGATTGATGGCTGTAAGTGGATTTTGTGGATATGAAAAAGGTGATGAAGATGATGGGGAAGGAGATGTTTGTGCAGTTTGAGGGAAGAAGGTGGAAGTCCCTCAGCACTTTGAAATATAAATATAAATATAAATATAATCAATCACCATAGCTCAGCATTTTGAAATATAAATATAATAATTAAAAATATATACTCGGAAGTATTGTTTTAACGGCTTTTTGTGCTAGTGCAGATCCAAATTCTCCTATCTTGTCGACAAACACCCTAACCTAGAAGAATTGATATATATGTAGTTTTTGTAAAGAATTAGATGACTTGTAAGAAAATGCAAGATATAATACCTCATTCATTGCTTGTGTTTGTGCATCTATATCTGACTCGAGTTCTTAATTACAGCTTTCAAACCTTGTCGAACCTCATCGGTATTAACGCAAGTGCCAGAATATTGAAGCATTGGGTTCAAAAAATACGCTGAAATATGTATATTAAAAAATTAATAAACATAAATGAATTGAACCAAATGACAAGTATTTAAAATAAAACTTTAGATTACTTGCAGCATGCAAATCTTGATGTAACATTTTGTACCACCTGTCGTCTATCACAGTCGTCTATCACAGTCTAATAAGTTTGCCAATCTTTAACCGTCTCTTTGATTGCCATTTTCGCCCTATCCATAGCTTCATAAACAATTGGTAATGTGGCCTTTTTATCTTGATCCACCAGTTTTAGAACCTTCACAAGTGGTTCCATTAATGAACAAACTTCTCGGGCTCTGCTCCAAAATTTGTTATTCAATATGTACTTGACACATTTTCGACTTCACTCCGTCGTTTTGTAGTGTTGTTAAAAACTTCCCACTCAGGAGTCTTACACATTCTCTTCAGCTCCATAGAATGTCGAACAAGACTTTCAATAGCAATAAATATTGTTGCAAATCTTGTAATTCCTGGCCTTAACAACTCTCGTTCTTTTGTATACGACTTCATAAGATTCACTATTTTGTCACTGTTGTAAATAAAACTTGTAATTTTTTTTGCATTTTCTATGCATCTTTTTATTTTGGTCATCTTACCGATATCTTCCAACATCAGATCGATGTAATGTGCAACGCAAGGAGACCAAAATATATGCGGCCTTTCCAGCATCAACCTTTCTCAGCAGCTTTGTTTGAAGCTTCACTGTCTGTAACAACTTGTACAACATTTTGCTCTCCTATCTCATCAATGACTTTATTTATAAGAGACAAAATAAAATCTGCATTCTTTATTATATCAGTACAATCCACAGAAGTATGATATATCATTGATCCATCACAATATAAACTGATGATAGGATGCTTATTTTTTGTACTCCACCCATCACACATGATTGTGCAACCATATTCTGGCCATTTTGCTTTCAAAGTGGATATATAACCGTCAATTTCAGAAACTTCTTCATCTAGATAAGTACTACAGATTTGACGGCCAGAAGGACCCATAATTCCAGTCCCCGCCTCAGCAATAGTATTTATCATAGATTGATAATAAGGCCCACTATCAGCAGCATTAAACGGAATAGCATTAAATAAAAACCACTTTGAAATGGACTTACCAACTGCTTTGATTTTTTGAGGAGCGAAGAATTGTTTAAGACTTTTTTGTTTTGACGGGAACATGAAAGGATCTACCCCGCTTGAAGACTTCTTAGGTCCTTCTCTTACGGTAGAGCTACGGAATATTCCTCGTTTCGTACCAGACGTTTGACCTCGATAAGTACCACCAATATGCCCTACAATTAAATAATACTAATTAATTGACATATTTTACAAGTATAACAATGTACTAGGATATAAAAGTTCATATACCGTCATTGTATCGCATACGCTCCTCTTCATCGAAAGCTTGCTTTCGACTTTCTCTCGTTGCATTCCGTAATTGCTTCTTCTCCATTTGTGATAGATATTCTTTATTTGCATATCGGGAACCTTGTTCATCATCATTCTCGCTGCTACTTTCAGTATCAACGTCATGTATGTGCCTACATTCTTCTCTAATGGACATTATAGCTGTTTCTTTTGTTTTTTTCATTAATTCTCTGGTAGTTTTGCTCTCTTGAAGATGTTTTCGCAACATTAGCGAAATTTCTTTCGGAGCCTTTTTACATGCCTCTACTTCTACTTCTCCAGATATATGAGCGATATGTTGTTTTAATCTGGTTATGCCGCATGTAGTAACTACTTGACAGAATTTACATTGATTTTCTTTCGATTTTCACCAACCATGTCGCCGAAATCCCAACCTATATCAGTTTTTGGACCCATTCTACATGATTGTGGAAAAGCAATGAGTGCAATTAGAACCAAATATTAATTGATTATGAATAATATATAAAACTATTCTTTCTTCATACTATCTATATTCTATATTAAATTATAAATTACGAAAACTATATGACTACAAATATTAAATTATATACTACAATCTTTTAGCGAAGTATAAAATTATAAATTAAAAAAAAACTACAAACATATCAAATTGTACCTTGGAGAGAAGAGTTGATGATCGAACACTTCAATTTTTTTCTTAATGAATTTGTTTATATTTTTCTTTTTTACTCTCTGCCTCTCCAATGCCTCTGCAATGCCTCCCTATGTATATTATGTATTGAAATAAAAGCAGGTATCAATCACGTTCTGTATAATTATTAGTTGTTCTATTATTGAGTGGAATGGCTTGTGGGAGACATGGATGTGAAAGGCTATAGCCTAAAGTGCATGTGATGATGTGAAAGACATGGATGTGGGAGACATGGATGTAAATTTGCACCCAATAGTAAAATCAAATTCATCATAATAAAAAATATTAGAATCCAAGAAATAATTCACAAGTCACAAGTTAAATAGTAAAAACCAAAATAGTACAAAAGTCACTAGCCATGAGAGAAATATTAATTATGTTTTTTTTCCTTTTTTTTTTAAAGTCAAATTAGTCATTATTTTTCTTTTTTTTAGGCAAATTATGTTTTTTTTTTTAAATTCTGCTGTTCCGGTACCGTTCCGGCCGTGTCGGGGCCGTTCCGTGGCTCCGTCTCGCCCATCCCACCGATTTCTCGGCGTTTCGATGAATCCCAGTGCAAATACCGTTCTGGTTACGGATTCCGAAACGGAGAGCACCGTTCCCGTTCCGAAACGGCCGTTCCGGCCGTTCCCACGCCGTTCTGGCGAACCATGGGTGGGAGATATGAGAGATGAGAGAGGACGTGGAGAGAGGTGAAACAAAATTAAAAAATGATTGTGGTGAATAATAAGGGAAATATGTATAGAAAAAGAAAATAATAAAATGAATAAAGTGTGTGAAATATATAAAAAAACATAGAAAATAGTAAATTTAAAATATTAAAACTAATAAAATAATTAAAATTTTAAAGAATTAAAAAAACTAGGGTCGACCCCGGTTGAACCGGTCCGACCGTGACCCAAATGTTGATCCGGTTTTATACCCGATCCGGTTCTGACAACATTATTCACAAATCACAAGTATAAATAGTCCCATTCCTCCCCATTTTTTATATCCGTCAAACTTTTGGCATTTTTCTATTAGAGTTTATACATTTTCGCCAAAAAAAAAATTGCCTTTCATTTTTGATAAATTACTAATGTTTGAATGTCTTTTAATTCATTATTTGCATATAATGATTTGATTCTTCTTATTTAGGGATACATATGTTTTTATATATCATTTTAATTTAAGTTTGATTTGGTTTTTCTAATGTTTCGTAATAA